ATGACAACCCGTGGATAAATCAGCCTTAACATCTGGTCACTTCAGGGACAGTCCAACTGTTGTTGGTGTTGGGTACAGTGATATGGGAAAGTCTATAGTCTGTATCCAACTGAAACTGTTCAGTAAGACAGAGCTACCGAGTGGAAAAACAGCTGTCTCAGCTCCTTTACGTTTGAGACTGAGCAAGTCATGACAGCACTGAGCAGACGGAGCCATTTGCCAATATTTAATTTGTTGTAGATTAAGAAATTGTTTCATTTCCACAATTACTGTGTCTGTCTAGAGAAGGATCCAAGCACTGTTGAACTCTGGGATGTTCAGAATCTATATCTGGATCCAAACTTAGGGGTGTTTGAAATCCAGAACTGTGTTTGGATTTGAATTGTACGAATGGAATCTAGATACAATAGTGACTGAAACATTATCAATGGTATATCTAGACAGAACAGGAAGGGCTTTGTATCCAAACACCCCCAATCTTTGAGGTATCTAGATTCAGATCAGTTTGTACCCTAGCTTTTTACTTTATGATCTAGAGCCTAGATTCCTCAGTGATCAATGCTCTATAAATGTATCTAGCTAGTCAGACCCATGGGGCCTCCTCAACGCCTCACTTACACCTGTATGGCTGGGATTTTGGGAGTTGGGTGCCTAACTCTCTAAGGCTCCTTTGAAAGTCTCAACCATGTCACTCTGCTGGCTACAATGCTGCTATCCCTGATTTAAACCAGTGAAAGAGGAGACCAAGGATCATAGACTTTGGCCCATTTCTGTAACTGTAACCTTCCCTCAGACAGTGTAAGGTAGTCTCAGATCCCAAGTATCTTTCTGAGTGCTCTCCTTGCTGTATCTCTCAAACATCCTGCATGGCAAATTCTCCTTATTCCTTCAGAACTAGGGATGAGAAATCTGAGAAACCTTGTCAGGTGCTGGAGTGAAGATGAGGCATCTTCACTGAATTATAGAAATGTAGGGCTGGAAAGGACCTCAAGAGATCATCTAGCCCATTCCTCATGCCAAGACAGGACTGAGTATACCTAGAAAGAAGCTTAAACATGAAGCTTTCATTGGGGCAGAGACCATCTTTTTGTGCTATGTTTGTACAGCACCTAGCACAATGGATTCCTGAACTATGAATAGGACCCCTAGAGGCTATGGAAATACAAATAATAAATTATTATTATTATTATTAATAATGGTCAATTAAAGAGATGCTGATACAATTGTTTGGCCCAATATTTGATCTACAGTTTTTTTTAATATTCCTAAATAATAAATGAATAGAAAATAGTTAGAGCCAATGGCTCTAACAAGCTGCTTACTGCCTAGCACTCTTGAGCAGCCTGACAATAGCAAATCCTGACTTGCAACACAGCACTCATGGGTAACAGACCAGATTTTCCAAAGTAAGTGCGTGCTTCTGTATAGAGACCAAAATAAAAAGGTGCTGAGCTCTTTTGAAAATCTGGCTAGATGTGTCACAACAGGATCTGCTGGGTGCTGAACACTTTGGAAAATACATCTCTTATTTAGGGGCTTAAATGGGAGTTAAGCACTTAGAAATATGGTCCCAGTTGAGGGGACTGAGTACTTGAAGATCTGGAACCATTTCTCGTGAAATCTGGTTCCTTGTGCTTCCCAGCATTCATCAATTGTGTCTTACTCTGCACACCTAACACTACAATAATAAACATACACATAGGCCAGTGATCATGGTACAAGGAAGGAGATTCCCCTTTCCCCTCTACATATTCCTCTTACATAAGTAGCTTCCGGCAGTCTAAAGAACAATCCCTGATGTCTGAGTTTTTCCTAGCTCTGGAAGCTGCTCTAGTTCTCCCACTGTGCAGCCCCATGTGCCACCCCTAACCCAAAGAAGAATGCTGATTGCTCTGCTATAAAATACCCTTTGCTAAGCTTCCTACAGGCCAGTCCCTTGTAAAAATGCTTCCCTCTCAAGGTTTCAATCAGCTGGAGCCCTTCAGAAGTTTCTGAGCTTGGGTGATCTATTGCTCTTTAACAATCTTGTGGTTTCTTCCCTGCTACACTGGAAACACGCAGGGGTGTAAGGGAGAAAGTATCAGTGAGATGTCTGGCTGTGGCCAAAAGCCACTTGTGTGCAAGAATAGGAATGGTATTTTGGGCTATGAGAAAAGATTTGGAGTGTGAGCCCTGCAGCAGAGCAGGGAGGTCTTGAGCTCTGTACCAGGGTTGGAAAGCTGTTAACCAAGATCTCCTGATATTGGAGTAGGAGATAGAGTGGGCCATATCCATTCCTGTGTTGGCACAAGGGATTGTGCTTGCCCTCTCCCTATCCTGGGCCTGATGGGGGCTGGTAGGGGCCCTTGAGGCTGCCCTATTATAGCCCAGCTGCTATGGCCCCCATGGATCATAGCAGCAGGACAAGGCTTAGGACTGCCACCCAGCCACTCCACCAACATGTCTTTGGTCCCACCCAATATCATCCCCTGTGCCAGGACTTCCTGCCAGGCAGGGCAGGGGTAGAGTTGGCCCCATGGTTCCTGCAGAGGGCCTCCTGAATTGGGGGTATTCTCCAAGTGGGGGGCCCTGCAGCTTGTTTGCCCTGGTGTAACTGGCACAAAGGAGGCTGCAGGCTGGGGGCGAGCACATCACCGTTCATAAACCACAGTGGCAGAGAAAGAAATGGCAGTGGTCTCCTGGCGAGATGGTTCCAATGCAGTGGGCGAGGTTCTGCCCTAAGTTACTCCCATGCAACCCAGCTGGTGTCAATGAGGCTGCGGAAGTATCAGTGAAGGCAGAATTCAAGACACTGGGCACTGGAAAGTGAAGGGCTGAGTTGTACCTAAACTTACTCTTTGTACAGCCATTGGGGGGTAAATTGGGGCAGAATTTGGCCCAGCGAGCTGGTGGATTTGTAAATCACCGTTGTCACGAGGTGTCAAAGGATCCATAGAAACAAAACATCACTGTTTTTTCCTATTACACCAGTTAATGGTTGTTGGTAAATTCTTGTCTTGTCTTCTCTTGGATTTCAGGTTTTGTTTTTGTTTGAAATTGAATAAAGTTTTGATGTGAAGGGAAAAATAGTGGTAGAGATCACAGCAATCAGCTGGGTTTTGTAGATCGCTGCAGCTACTGGAGGGTTTTGGATAGCACTGCAATCATTTAGTCAGATATGACTAAATTCAGCCATCTTTCTTAGAACTGCCCTTTTTTAAGACTTCACCATGATTATGTAATTTTTGATTATCGAGCTGCTAAGTGCAGGCTTATTCTTTGGCTTGCTCTGCGCTACTCACCATGGGGAGCATGACTGATTACGTCTGACACCCCTGTCCTCTTAGCTCAGAGGACAATAATAGAATCTAATCCTGGTTGCATGAACAATGAGATTCTGAAAGGATAATTTATCCAGAAAGAGAGAAACTCACAGGCTTTTAACAGCATTTGTAACGTGGTTGCTCATTCTCTGAGCCAGATGGTCAGCCCCTTACTTTCAATGGTGAACAGTTGCTCATACTAGGCCCAATGAGATCCACAGAACTGCTTGTGTAAACAGGTGCTCATCAGTAGCAGTAAGAGGTTCACAATCTGGCCCAATGATGGTACTCATACCTGGCCTTTCTAGAGCACCATTTGTCTAAAGATCTCAAAGCACTTTACAATCATTAATTAAACCTTAGGTAAGTCTTAGCTCTGAGGTAAGGATTATTATTCCAGTGTTACTAATGGGGAAACTGAGGCACAGAAAAATGATGTGACTTGCCCAAGATCACACAGCAAGTCAGCTGTAAAGCAGTGAATCGAATCCAGGATTCGTGACCCAACATTTCTTGTTCCTATCGCATCACAATGAAACACACATTCCCCACAAATTGGTCCAGTTTCACTGTACAAAGGTGTAAGAGGATGCCTGATTTATAGGGCTTAGGACCTGGGATGCTGCTGAAGTAGACTCAAGCCTGGGTTGGGAAGCCTGGGTCGGAATCAGAACTTCCACGAGCGTTTGGGCATGTTTGGATTTGATGTTCCAGAATGGCCCCCGAGCCACAAAGATTGGTGCTTGAGCCAGAGCTGAACGTCTTCCTAGTTCTGAGGGTTAGTACAACCCTGATGGTTCAGTGTGGGCCCATTTCTAGGGATTCATTCGGTGCTGACAGAGAAGGAAAGTTGCACAGATTAAATGACTGATGGGCATAAAGTTTGGTTTGATTTCATCTCTCAGCGAAACTACATGGTAAACTGAACCACCTCTACTGCATAGATCACTCACGGCTAGAACTGAGCAAACAATTGTTTTTTTCGGTTTGGTGGCTGAACCTAACAATCCAAGAAAAAAATCATCATATCGGGTCGACCCAAGACAATATTTTGTTTTTTTTATGTTTTAGTTTTTGGATTTTTTTTTAACCTTTTTATTTAAATAGATCTAATTACATTTAGAAATTAAATCTTGTTTTGAAATGAAAAATCAAAATGTTTCATTTTTGAAAGTGTCTAAATGAAACGTTTCAGATGTAAAAAAAAACCAAACCTCCCCCCTGATTGTTTTGGCTAAATCTGTTTGCCCAGTTTGATTTGAATTTGCAAATAGTTTTGGGTCATCTCCAACTGCATTTTTTTGGGCTAATTAGACTCTACTCATCTGAAACGTTTGGCCCCGCTCTGCTCATGACTGAATAGATTATTTATTAGTTGTATTACAGTTGCACCTAGAGAAGGCAACTTGGCAAACACACAGTAGAAGACACTCCTTGCCTCAAGGGTCTTACAATGTGAATAGATGAGACAGACGAAGCGGGGGGCTGAGGGGTGCGAGGCGGGGGGCGGGGTGGGGGGGGGAAGGGAAGAAACAGAAGCCCAAAGAGGGGAAGTGTCTTGCTAAAGAAGGTCACACAGAAGGTTAGCAGCAGAGCCAGGAATGAAAACCAGGTCTCCTGACTCCCAGTCCAGGGCACTATCCACTAAACAATTCTGCCACTGAACTGTACTTCCCTTCTCTGCTTCCTCCCTCCTAGGGTCCCCATCTCTGAGGGCATATCCTCTCATCTCCGTCATCACCCGGCAGCCCTCTGTGGTCCCTCACCTTGTCCCTGCAGCTCCCAGCTCCCGAGCACTGTCACCCCACTCCTCCTTGGGAGCCACCAGCGCAGAGACACCAGCCAGCGAAACTCATGCCAGCAGCGAGTCAGAAGGGGAGCAGCCCACCCCGCGGTTGAAAAAGCCTCGCCGAAGCCGGACCATCTTCACAGAACTCCAGCTGATGGGGCTGGAGAAGAAATTCCAAAAGCAGAAGTATCTGTCCACGCCAGACAGGTCAGAGGAACGGGATTGGGGTGTGACTGGGGGTAAGGCTGGGAAAGTGGCTGCAGGGCCATGACCCTTAGGGAAGAAGCCTGCAACTGTGAGTTGCAAATCCGGGCTCATGCTACAGCGCTAAAAATATCTGTGTGGAGCCTGAGCTCTAGGAATGGGGGTAGGCTTCAGAGCTGGAGCCCGAATGTCTACACAGATATTTTTTGTGCTGTAGTGTAAACCTGAGTCTGTAAACCTGGGCTCTGAGACTTGCGGCTGCAGAATCTTGCTTGCTGTGTAGGTGTACCCTATGAGACCGAGCCATCTACAGGGGATTTACATACATGACTCTCAGAAAACCAGAGGAAACGTAGGTAAAACTCTGAGCTCACAGAGGAGAATATAGGGCCCAGTGCAGCCTTGAGCAGGTGAGTGAAATCACAGACTCATAGAACTGGAAGGGACCTCAAGAGGTCATCTAGTCCAGTCCCCTGCACTCATGGCAGAATTAAGTATTATCTAGAGCAGTGGTTCCCAAACTTGTTCCGCCGCTTGTGCAGGGAAAGCCCCTGGCGGGCCAGGCCGGTTTGTTTACCTGCCGCGTCCACAGGTTCGGCCGATCTCAGCTCCCAGTGGCTGCGGTTCGCTGCTCCAGGCCAATGGGAGCTGCTGGAAGCGGCATGGGCCGAGGGACATACTGGCCGCCGCTTTCAGCAGCTCCCATTGGCCTGGAGCAGCGAACCGCGGCCACTGGGAGCCGCGATCGGCCGGACCTGCAGACGCGGCAGGTAAACAAACCGACCCGGCCCGCCAAGGGCTTTCCCTGCACAGGCGGCAGAACAAGTTTGGGAACCACTGCTCTAGACCATTCCTGACAGGTGTTTGTCCAACCTGCTCTTAAAAGTCTCCAGTGATGGAGATTCCACAACCTCTCTAGGCAATTTATTCCGGTGTTTAACCACCCTGACATTTAGGAAGTTTTTCCTAATGTCCATCCTAAACCTCCTTTGCTGCCATTTAAGCCCATTGCTTCTTGTCCTATCCTCAGAGGTTAAGAAGAATAATTCTTCTCCCTCCCCCTTTATCAACCTTTTATGTACCTGAAAACTGTTTTCATGTCCCCTCTCAGTCTTCTCTTCTCCAGACTAAACAAACCCAATTTTTTTCAATCTTCCCTCATAGGTCATGTTTCCTAGACCTTTAATCATTTTTGTTGCTCTTCCCTGGACTTTTTCCAGTTTGTCCACATCTTTCCAGAAATGTGATGCCCAGAACTGGACACAATATTCCAGTTGAGGCCTAATCAACGTGGAGTAGAGCGGAAGAATTACTTCTTGTGTTTTGCTTACAACACTCCTGCTAATACATCCCAGAATGATGTTCACTTTTTTTGCAACAGTGCTACACTGTTGACTCATTAAGTTTGTGATCCACTATGATCCCCAGTTCCCTTTCCGTAGTACTCCTTCTGAGGCAGTCATTTCCCATTTTGTATGTGTGCAACTGATTTGTTCCTTCCTAAATGAAGTACTTTGCATTTGTCCTTATTGAATTTCATCCTATTTACTTCAGACCATTTCTCCAGTCTGTCCAGATCATTTTGAATTTTAATCCTATCCTCCAAAGCACTTGCAACCCCTCCCACTTTGGTATCATCCACAAACATTATAAGTGTACTCTCTATGCCATTATCTAAATCATTGATGAAGATATTGAACAGAACTGGACCCAGAACCAGTCCCTGCGGGACCCCACTCATGCCCTTCCAGCATGACTGTGAACCACTGATAACTACTCTCTGGGAATGGTTTTCCAACAAGTGTTTTACCCATCTTATAGTAGCTCCATCTCGGTTGCATTTCCCTAGTTTGTTTATAAACAAAACCCCAGACCTCTAGGCTGAACTGTCAGCAGTGATGTATATGGTCGTGTAAGTCGCACATCGGGGGCCTGATTCTCCAGTGGCTAGCACTAAGTGCAGTCATTGACCCCAGTGCAAAGTGCATGTGTGACTCCCATAAAGAAACGTGATCTCCATTTACACACTGCTTCATCGGGTACCTTTAACATTGTCTTTAAATACTAAAGACTGTCTCTGAACTACAGTAGCTTTTCCAAGGCGAGGGGACAGCCAGCATCCTGGAAACTATATCTGGCTCCTCCCTAGTTTACTTCTATTCATTTCAAATGGATCAGGGCACAGTGATGCATGGCAAGGGCTGGTTGGAGGACACTTTGGCCGTGACTAGCAAGGGCTTTCTGCACTGAGGGGAGAGTGTCTCCCATGGCATTGCCTATCACGACTACTTTAAAAAGACACAGGACAAAAACGTTCCTTAAAGTGGAAAAAGCAGAGGTAGCAGAAGGGCTGCTCAGCCGTTGTGGTGCTGAGCTCTCTCTAGTTGAACTGTGACGTCTTCTGGACTGAGAAAGATGACTTTGCCATTGGTGGAGGACTTGGGCAGAAGACCGGATTCGATTAAGGCTAACTTTTCCCAGGATCAAAGGTGACCTGAATAGAATGAATGAATGGAAACCACATACCGAGCGCATTATATAAAGAGAGGGCTCAATACATGTGCATAGCAGCATGTATTTATGTAGAGAGATACATGCAAGGAATAGAGAGCAAAGCATTTCCCCCTGCTTCACCCTTTGAAAGGGCACAGCGTGTTTTCCCTCTCCCATGCTGGCTCAGTTCCACTGGCTAGTGCAGGTGTGGGTGTGGGTGTGTAGGCAGAAACCTGCCCATTACCCAACCCCTCTAGAGAAGCTAGTTCCACTATGAGCACTAGACTGGAGCAGTCTTTGCCCTCAGGGAACATAGAGGACCGTGACTGTGACTAGCCCATAAACAAGAGGTGTAATGGGGAGCTGGGTTTGCTGAGCAACAGCCTCACTGCAGCCACCAGTAGGGAAGGTCACAATCTCTCCCTGAGTGTCTCTTGACCAATACTGTTTATGTTTATATTTAGAGCTGGTTGAGATGTTTATACCTTACAATTTCCCCTTTGGAAAATATGGTTTTGGTGAAACTGAAATTTTCCACAGGGAAATTTTAATTAATTGTTCCGATTTCTGACTGGAAAACGTAACCCCCAAATATTCATTTTGAAATCAGTGTGTTTTGTTTTCCAAAAACTAAAACAAAAATGACATAAGAATGGCCATATTGAGTCAGACCAAAGGTCCATCTAGCCCAGTATCCTGTCTTCCAACAGTGGCCAATGCCAGGTGCCCCAGGGGGAATGAACAGAGCAGGGAATCATCAAGTGATCCATCCCCTGTCGCCCATTCCCAGCTTCTGGCAAACGGAGGCTAGGGACACCATCCTTGCCCATCCTGGCTAATAGCCATTGATGGGCCTATCCTCCATGAACTTATCTAGTTCTTTTTTGAACCCTGTTATAGTCTTGGCCTTCACAACATCCTCATAAAGAGTTCCACAGGTTGATTGTGCGTTGTGTGAAGAAACGCTTCCTTTTGTTTGTTTTAAACTTGCTGCCTATTCATTTCATTTGGTGACCCCTAAAACGGTAACATTTTAAGTTGAATGAACATTTTTGTTTCATTTTGAATCAATGTATGTCTAAATGACATGTTCATTTTCACTTAAAATGTAGTTTCCTTTCAGGTTTGGGAAATAAAACATTTCAGCTGTTCATTTTCAGCTTTTGGATTGGGGAAGTTTTACCCATTTCTCTCTCTTTTTTTTTTACATTAGAAAAAGGGAGCAAAGGTAAAAAAAAAAGCAAATGAAAGTGAGGAAAAAACCCACTTTTCACATTTTTAACTGTTTTCTAAAATGTTCATGTACTTTTTCACTATTTTCCAATTTGTTTTCAGTTGGAAAAAAGTGTGAAATTTGTTTTCATTCCCATTTCACATACTTTTTACTCCACCCCTCCAATTTTCCCAGTGGAAAAAAGATAGAAAAAGTAATAAAAAAAAAGAGGGGGAGAAGTGTCTGGGTTTCCTGATCAGCTCTAGTTATACTGAATTAGGCTTGTTTGACTGCTGTTTGTCTGGAACCCTCACAAAGGAGATCTGAGACTACCCTTTGAGGCAATGTGGCTCTGTGAAGTGTTTTCCAATGGACACCTCATTGGTGTGGAAGCCAGGAGACTTGAATTTTGTTTCAGGCTCTGTTTCTAACGTGTTGTATGGTAATCTTGGACAAATTGCCACTCCGCTCTGTGCCTCAGTTTCCCTTTTTGTAACTACTGACTTACCTCATGTAAGGAGTTCTGAAGCTTGGTGTATTATTATTTACAAAGTGATTTGAGATTTACATATCATGTCAGCCTAACTTTTTGGGTTTATTCTGTGCCAAACGCGTTACACGTGCCTCTCGTTAGTGAAAAAAGAAAAGGAGGGGTTTTTTTGGTTTGTTTTAAAGAACTTGAATTACCCATGTGTTGGGGTGTGTGGGGAGAAAATTGTTGGTTTAAATTACAGGAGAAAAGGTTGCCAACACAGAGTAGCTTTGCAAACATAAAGAAAGTGTTTGAGAGGTTCACAAAACCTTAAACCCCATGTGTCACCAAGCCCTAGTTTAAACAATTTTTAAGGCCTAAGGTTGGAAGGATTAGATTTTTATCAGTCAGTGAATGTTGTTTTCACTGTACACACACAAACTGACTAAATCCCCCCCCACTCCACCCCCCGCCATAGATAATAAACAAAATTTACAGATAGACAAAGTAAGAAAAATCCTGCTAGAGAACTTTTTATCGTTTGATTCAGGACATTTTACTTTGTATATTTTGACGTGATCTTGACATTTATAAAGCTTTAGCTTTTTGAATCTTGACAACATCTGTCATTTAAATTATTATTGTGTGACTGCCCCCTTTTGCCTGGCCCTCCCCCCCCATAATTTTCTGCAACTGTGAAAATTTAAATTGATTAACAATACAAAAAGCTTACAAATAAATATTATCTGTCAAAAGAAAAAAAATACATATGGAATTCTGCCAAGCCTGCCTCTAAGCTATATGCCTATTTTTTTCATCTGATGACGCATGTCACCAAAGCACAGGTCACATTGGGCCAGATTTTCAAACACTTAGGACCCACAATCAAGGACAGGTTTTCAAATGAGTGCAACTCCCATCTAAGCATCTAAATGGGGTCAAATTTTAACTAGCTCCCATAGTGACTCCTACGCCATGGTTTTTTTGAAAGAGCTCAGTACCCAGCATGCTGGGCTCTTTTGATATCTGGCCCATTTGGCATGATTCTCTATCCCCTAAGGCTCAGGTGTTGTGCTGACTGGCTCAGCACTGCCTCATGTGACCAGCTGAGTGACACCATCAATCAAAGCAGTCTTGGCTGCTGAATTAATTAGAGACATGAAGGTTTCTTGACTTTGTACATGACCAAGGCTGATGAGCAATCTCTGCTCCCCTAGCTCTTCCTTTCTCTCTCTCTATTTGTTTCTTTGGTTTCCTAGGCTAATGCACATGGAGAGAGGTTGTAAAGGTTACAGGTAATCTAGGTGTGACAAGACACAGGCTTCCTGGCAGGAGTTCGTCAAACAGACATATTTCCCATGTGAGCTCATGAGTTGGTAACGCAGTGGCAAGGGCATGGATTGAGATCTGCACTCACTCTTGTGTCCTTTGACGGGGGCTACATTGAGGGGCATGGTGAGCTACTTAGTCGCATGGCTAATTAGAAGCCAAGGAGTGCAGATGGGATAATGTCTGGAACCTGTGGGCTTGATTCTGATCTCCCAAACTCATCCATGTAGCTCCTTTGACTTCAATACCCCAGCTATTAAGTATGGTGAGTGATATAAGGTGATGGAAAATCAGCCCCTTTAACTGCAAAGGGGTCCCAAAGTGGGGAAAGCACGTGCGGGTTTGTTTGTTAGGGTATTTGAATATAGGTGTGTGTGACTGTCCCCACTATCTATCCAGTTGGATCACAACTTTTGTTATGAAAAACTCAGCTTTGGAAAACGTGTTTCCAAAGCTGTTTAAGGGACATACAACATGTTGTTTCAGGGGCTACAAAAAGAAAGTTCACAGGACCTAAAATATGTTTAGATGCAACTCCATGTTTGCACCTGAACCCATCTGAGTTTTGCATGGCTTCACATTGTTGCAGAACATTTGCCCAGCTCTACTTAGAATTTCTGAATCACATAAGGCCAAATTCATCCTGAATGCAGCTCCACTGCACCACTAGGTCGAGATTTGTTCTCACTTAAGTGACAAATAAAGGAATTTCATCAGGGATGAATTTGGCCCAGGATCTCCAGATCTCAGGCTTTGTAAAGAAATAAATAGATTAATAGTCATAAAGGAACCATTACAGATTTGGAGGTTTGGCCCGGATAAGTTAGGATAAGCATTTGTGCTGTCTACTGTAGCTCCCCGGAAGGCCCAACACACATAAATTTATTTATAGGCATTTCTAGAGCTCTCATCACTGTAATATCAGCAAATTAATAAATTCAGACACACAACACCTTTTTGAGGTTAGAAAGCATCCTTATCTCCAGTCTATATATAGAGAAAGTGAAGCACAATAAAGGCAGCCAAAATTTTCAAAGGTGGCCTCTGATTTTGGGTGTGAATTCTTGGGTGCTGTCTTGAGACACCTAAGGCCTGATTTTCAGAGGTGCTGAATGTCAGGGCCAAGTTGTCTCCAGCTGGATGACTGAACTTTTGTCCTCGTTCACTTGCCCAACAAAACACATAGGATAGCTGGTCTGTTTCCATCTCTTCCTATCTCCCTATTCTGCGTCATAACCACAAAACCATTCTTGCTTCCTTCATAAGACCATACTTCTTTGGATCCTAAATTTGGATCATGACTGTTTATAATGATTTGTAATTCTCCTCTGAACTGGAGAGAAAAGACGAGTTAGGAGAAGCTGATAGCGATCTTTTTCTGGAATTTACTTCACTGTATGTGAGCCCCCCATTCTCTCTACAGGATACAATCAGGGATTGGCTACTGCAGTGCATCTGGACTCATTTCCTTTGTCAAGTCTCTGTATCTCTTGTCTTCTAGGCTGGACCTTGCCCAGTCACTGGGGCTGACTCAGCTCCAGGTGAAGACTTGGTACCAGAACCGCAGGATGAAGTGGAAGAAAATGGTAAGAGATCAAAAGGTTCCCAACCAGGCCTCCAATCTAATGTCAGAGAGATGAATCCTGAGCTGGAGTAAATCTGGGTGTACATTTGGAAGTCTTTGGCATAAATTCTGCCGATGAAGCTATGCTGATTTACACCAGCTGAGGATCTGGTCCAGAATTTTAAAGTTCAGTTTGTTACTGCTAACTGGTTGCTCAAAAGCTCACATTGCTGAATGTATGTTGGGTAAGACTGGCCATGGATAGCAGTGCGGATTCAAAGCAAAGGGACAAAAGGGGGAGGAGCAGAAATTTCTCCCTTTTCATTTTTTGGCAACCCTGGGGTCTTTATTGCTTGTGGGAATTGGGGGTGCACCTGGATCATAAAGAGACTTCAACTCAATGAAGCTAAGTCCAGCTTTGATAAGTGATGTCCCTGCTTCTCACTTTTAAAGCTGTCTTTAACTCTGACCCTGCCTCCAACTCTTCCTGTACACCTGCTCCTGCTCCCTATGGTCTGCCCACATTTCTCTCCTGACTTTTCCCTTTATCTCTTTCATGCACTCCCAACTTCAAGCCTTTACATGCAGTTTCTCAGTTAGTGTACACCAAGCCTCCTCCCTGTCCTTCAGAAAACATCTAGAATGCCCACTTGTCCAATACATCACTCCAGCTGCAATAATGACAACACTGTGTCTGTCCTGTATTGTATTGGAGGAAAGGAAGGGCAGTCAGGTCCCATTAGTTCCATTCTGGTTCCGTCACTGACTCACTGCATGACCTTAGGCAAGTTGCTTCCTCTCTTTGCCCCAGTTCCACTGTATGCAAAATGGAGATAATAGAGGTGGCAGAGCTATTTTGCTGACTCATCCTGGTAGGAAGACCAGGTGGGTCTCATTAGTTCCAAAGCAGGAGTAAAAAGAATTGAGTCTCTAAGAGACAAGAGAGAGCTGAAGGGAGGAAAAAAATTCACTTTGGAAACTCAGGCGGAGGTTTGATTGTTGTTACTTAAGCTAAGAATGAAAAGAAAATCTCAGTAAGGGAGCTGAATTTTGGACAAGCCTGTACGTGTGCTGTATTGAGAGTTGGGTCCCTCCCAAGTCCTCCCCAGCCTGGTGAAAATGAGCAAGTGAGTGAGGATGCAGGAGAGCGAGCGACAAAGGGAGGGGGGAAGATGGTATGAGCAGGGTGGGGCCTTGGAGAAGAGGCGGTGCAAGGGTGTTTGGTTTTGTTGAGTCAGGAAGTTGGCAACCCTATACTGAGACCCCTTTACAACCCGCCTTGAACTCAGGACCCTACATAAAGTCTGAGATATTAGTGTTTTCTGGGTTTGTACTTGCCTCCATTTAAATTAATTAATCCCCATTTAAGCCCCACAAGGCCTACGCATCACTTAAGTTCTACTTGAGTCCGGAGTAGGAGGTAAGGGTGCCTAAACCTTGGGCCCGCTCTTTGAACAGGGATAGATTTCATCCTAATGTTAAAAGTACCATCAGGAACTTGGATGGCAGACACCAGTGAGTTCAGAATGGTCCAAACACTTATTATCTTTGTTCCAGGTACTGAAAGGTGGACAGGAAGCTCCGACAAAGCCCAAAGGCCGCCCGAAGAAAAACTCCATCCCCACCTCAGAAGAGATTGAGGCAGAGGAAAAGATGAACAGCCAAGTTCAGAGGCAGATATTCGAGACATCTCAGGCTCCAGAAGAGCCTGAATTGACAGAGGAGAAGCCTGAAGTCTCCTTGGAGACAGGAAAGTCTCCGGAGCACACAGTGGAGCCCTCCCCAGAGGAGACGACGCCCTCAAGTTAAAAGAGGAAAAACAGAAAAAGAAAAAAAAAGAAAGAAAAAAAAACACAGAAAAAGGAAAGAGAAAAAAAACATACATACATAAATAAATAAATAAAACAAAAAGACCTTGTGTATAAGTCAGGAGCTTGTGCACTTTGTGCCATTGGGAATCAACCAGCACGGGCCACCGTGGAACAAAGAAACCCAATGCATATGGTGATAGTCTTTCCCTTCCCAACAGCATGTGTAAGTCCTTCCTGCAGATAACAAGGGGGCCTGAGTACTTTACTGCTATCTTCCAGAAGAAACTGTGTCTAGAAATGTGAGACAGCCTGGAGAATCAGGAAAAGCCCAGGGTTCCTTTCATGCCGTGGGAGGTGGTTGTGTAGTGATATGACCATCTTGGAGGGTTCGGTGTGTTCGCTTGGCCGTATCTTTGCCTTTTAAGGTAGAAATGGACAGAGCACTTAGTCTGGCCTCAAGGCAGTGACTGCCAGGAACAGGGGAACTTTTACAGCACGATTTCTCATTTAACCAGCACTTATTTCTGTTAGGCATGGGCCCAAGCGAAACAGTTTTTTGGAGGATGCACAGACCTAGGGTTTTGGTTCAGCCCATTATAAAGATAGGTGCAAGATTCAGACCCAGGTCATGGTTCAGATTTCAGATCTCTCCTGGAGGTTTGAGGTGATCAGATCTGGGTTGTGGGGCAAACCTTTATAAAGGTATCATAGAATCATAGAAGGTTAGGGTTGGAAGGGACCTCAGGAGGTCATCTAGTCCAACCCCCTGCTTGAAGCAGGACCAATCCCCAATTTTTGCCCCAGATCCCTAAATGGCCCCCTCAAGGATTGAACTCACAACCCTGGGTTTAGCAGGCCGATGCTCAAACCACTGAGCTATTCCTCCCCCCCAGTGGTAAAGGCCACTGGGTAAAATCTGGATTGAGATCACAGTTTGGATTTCAAGCTGCTCCAGAACTGGGATTTTTGCTTCAGACCCATTTCTAATTATTGTAGGGTTTGTATTTTTTTTCCCCCCCAAGAAGCATTTAAATGTTTTCAGGGTTAGGGGAAAGTAATGGAGTTAAGAAGCGGCTGAAGAAAGTTCGCATTTGTTTTTAAGACCTGTGTGCCAAGACTAGATATGCATCGTGTTTCCTAAAGTCTTGTTGAGGGTGCATTTTGCCCGAAGGCTGCAAGAGATGTATTAAAATAACCTTTATTTTTTAATTAAAAATTAAATATATAAATAAGACTCCGTGTCATTTCTCTTCCAAATCCTACTTTAGGGATTGTGCTGAAATTTTTCAAAATTTTTGAACAGGTGCCCATTCCACAAAGTCACCAAACACTCGGCGATGCAAAAGAAAAGGAATGAGTATAAGAGTGGAAGGCCAGAAGTCTGGTATCTATCCTATCAGCTAGAATATAGGCACAATATGTTGTGGTGAATCCCTGGAAGTTAAATAAAAACTGGGTGTTTTTCAAACATATGCTCTAGTTCAATCACAAGTAATGACTTGTTCTGGTGTTCTTACTACATGGAAGTCCTATGACATGTGTTATGCAGGAGGTCCGACTAGATTATCACACTGGTCCCTTCTGGCCTTAAAAATCTATGACTTCCTAGTAGCCATAGATTCAAAATTTTGTAAATGAAATGTATTTAAATGTCTCAAATCCAATCATTTTCTGTGCGGACTAGAATTAGGAACATAATTTGCTGTGAATAGTTTAGCTAATGAATTTCACCTTTCTATTTGCCAAGTGTCTGTACATGTCTAGCAGTTTGTCAAGTTTATTTGGAATTCAAAATCTTTTGCTAAATTATTTTTGATGTGCAAATCCTTTGTGGAGCTGATAACAACAACTTCACAAAAATGTCAGTTATTTCCATTTTGCAAAGTTGGAAATAGAACAATTTTTCCTTTTTTTTCAAAACTTTTTTTTAAAAATGCTGAATTTCTAAAATTTTGAAATTTCATTGTCCACCCTTTTTTTTTTTGCCACTCAGCGCCATGCCATGAAAAAACGTTCAGGGCGGTTTGTTTTTAAAGTTTTCCTTTCCTCAGTCTAACTTCTCAAAGTTCAGGACGTTTTTAAATGTGACAGTGGAAAAAGGGAAATTGAAAGAAAGAAAGAAAAAAAAATGAGCCCATCAAAAAAATAAAAATAAAAGGAGAGGGGGACAAAAATATAAAAAATCTGAAGTTTCAAAAAAAATTCAGTTTTCAAAAACCTATAACAAAACGAAAACGTCAATTTAAAACAAAACAAAAATTTGTTTGGCTTTGAAATTTCCTATTGAAAAATTAATAGCGTAGAAAATGACATTCCCTGCCCCCTTCTAAATTGTTTTTGACAAAATGCCATTTTTCAGTGGGAAAAATCTTAATCCAGCTCTAATCACTGTGAATTATTTGCTGTGGGTATTTAATATTTAACTGCACTGGTTATTTTTGAATGCATCCATAAATCACTCAGAGTTTCTGTTCTTCTTTTGGATGAGCATCATTCTTTGCATCTAGCTTTCCAGTGTGATTTATATTTACGAGTTCAACATTTACTCTACAAATATTCTGATATTCACTTAAAATCAGTCATTTCCACCATCCTTCCTGCCAGCGAACTCGACCTCTAGAAAGTTCATAGAAAACAAACTCAAATCAAAAGAGGAGAGAATACTGTCAAAGCCAGGTAGTTTATAAACTTTAAACTACTTTTGCCTAAATTACTGTTCAGTATTTGCTCAGCTGATACAAAACCCATGAACATTGATGGGACTCTTTCTATTGATTTCAATGGGCTTCGATCAGACCCTAATATTCAGAGATCCCACCTTCATTAAGACCCAGTATGAGAGGCAGTGTGGCCTACTGGATAGACTGGAACTCAGGAGACGTGAGCTCTATTCCTCACTCTGCAAGTGGCCTGCTGGGTAACATTGGTCAAGTCATTTCAGATCTAGATCAGATTTAGGTTAGAATTCAGGGTTTGGGTTCAAGGCTGAATCAAGACTATATGTGGGTACAACACTGCCAAAAATCTCATAGAATCATAGATATCAAAGGGAGAAGGAGACCTGTTAGAACACCCACTCCATCATCCTGCCAATGCAGGATCACTCCTCACCGAACATGCTTGCCCAGTCTCCCGCCTCCCTCTTGCCCCAGAATATTTCCGTCCCTTTCCCCCCATGCTTTCCCCTCTCTGCCACCACCATGTTCCATTGCACTCCCTCAGTGTGCCTCATTTCCCTACACGCTCCTCAGTCTGCCTCGTGCTGTCTACATTTCTTGGATTTCCTATACTTCCCTGTTGCATTCCCTCTCCTTGCTGATCCAACAGCTCCATTGATGGCACCTCCACATTATCCTCCCCCTTGCCTGACTCTCTCACAGGGTGTTAAGGGGCCATCATCTTCCTTGAAGGCAACTTGGTGTTAGCTCTATTAGAAGGGCTGGATGGAGGTGGTATCCATTTTTTGCCCAAGACCGCCTCAAGCTCAAAGGGACGTGGCAGCCATCTTACTAAGGGAAGAGTCCCACTGGCAGTAATGGAAATAGCAGCCATTTTGGATAAGGGCAAAATGTGATGAGCTTGAAAGGCATAAATCAGAAATTAATTAGAACACCCCAGACTTCAAAAGAGAGTTGGGATCACTATATATTCACACCATAGTCTAGTAGAAGTGAAAGTTCGGGGTCGGGGGGGAGGTTTGAAACCTAACCCAGGGTGTTTTGGGGCATCTCCAGAAGATATTTCTTACTAAACCAAGAGGAATCCCTCTTTCCTCTCAAGCAGGTGCCTGCTATGAGCAGGAACGCTATCCGAAGCCCCTGCCACACTGCTACAGCAGCATGCTTATCTGAATCACTGGAACAATAATGCGGTCGCATAGCAGTACTTGCTACAAAGGAGGCCTCCTGCGGCTGCTGTGATCTGCCCAGGCCAAGCTAGAAAGGTATGCTGCTAGGTTGTTGCCAGTCGAACAAAGTGAGCTAACCCCCGTCCAGTCTGTTCCAGCACATCCATTATCTGCTGGAACCACTGATTTTCCTTTTTTTTTTTTTTTTTTTTTGTCAAACAACCTACGGCAGGAGGAGGGTGAGTGGCTCCACAAATACTAGGGAGCTACTCCCAACCTCAGGTGGTCCGGGGCTGACTCAGCTTTTTGTTTGGCTTCCTGTGGTTAGCAAGAATGTTTTAAAAAATTCATTAGACAAAGGTGTTTCCGAGAGAAGAAGGCTGGTGGGAATGCCAGAGTGCAGGCGCTAGCCGCAGCAACCTTTGGGTGAATGCTTCCCATATGTCCATGAAGTAAAAGAAACCAACACACCCAAGACAAAATCGCACCCCCCACTTTCCAGGTCTACTAAAGTCCTTCCCAAACATTAGCTAACACTCATGTCCAGTAGGATGGGTAGTAATGAGTTCATGGCCATTTATGCTCTCATAGCTGTCAACACAATGTTACATGCACTGGGAGCTTCATGGCGGCACCGACAGAACTGTCATCTTCCTGTTCCAAAATGCGGGCCCCTGACATTTGAGCTAAAGGAAAATCTTCAATAGCAGTGTAAGGCCTGTGACACACAGATGAGCAATTCGGAGTCAGTGGATGTGCACCTGTACCCCACGTGCTTTAGGCTGCAGAATTTGACTTTGTTTCTCTAGGGGAGGGGGTGAGAAACAGTGGGGAGGAAACATGGATGTTAGCTGGATATTCTCTCTCTCTGCAGAGAGTAGCACAGCAACTTCAAGAACTGGAATTAAAGACAGGCAGCCCTGTGGACTCATCAGCTGATCAACACAGGACCAAGCGATGTGCCTGCTGTGACGGCTGGATCCCACTCCCTGCCCCACTTTGGATACAGGTCAGCGTTCTTCCAGGTTTATTTACCAGTGGAGCTCTCCATTAGAATAATGTTTGGTCCACCATGGAGTATTTTATGGACCTGTAGGAAGAGCTGGGGGGAGAAGCATTTGTCTCCTCTAGAGGCAACAGACCCTGTGGAACTCACACTGAGCTATCCGCTAAGGGCTCTGAAG